GTGCTGGTGATTGTGGGGTAGGAGACTCGGAGGGGGTGGGGATGGGTGAGAAGGTGGATTATTGGTGTTGGGTGGGAGGAGAGGGATTTGGGGTCAGGGAGAATGATGGGCGGTAGCAGAGTCGTTATGAGGTGGGAGGGATTGTTGGGGAATGTTTTGAAGGGCTGTGCCATGGTTAGTGGGTACGAGCTGGAGAAGCAGTGATGTGTTCGTAGCGTACGCCAAACCCGGTCACGAAGACGGTGACTTCCCTCCTCTGTCTGGGTACATCTTCGCCAAAGGAGGGCAAAGGGGGGCCAGCGTCGCCCATATATCACTTGTGTAGTGTTTTCTTGTCTAAAGAAGAACCGCGACGTTGAATTGGTTGGATGAGGGTAGATGGGCTACAGATATGTATAATGACGCAGACGCCGTTCTCGTGTGACGCTACAGACGAGCTGCACCGGAACTGGAATGCGAGATGGTGACAGATTTACAATTGGAAGCTGGAAGTATGAAGGAGTGAAGCTTTCGCTGGTAAGATGAGTCGAAGTCTTGTTTCTCTGACTTGAGCACCGGGGGCGAAGAAGTGCAGGGAGACAGATCAGGAGGCCACACCGGACATGATGCCAAAAGAGGACAGCTTCAATTCTTGGCGAGCTGGTGGCGACATCAGGATATTTCCCTCAGGGGGAGAAGGGTAGAACTGGGATCCTGCCCGCCACCCCCTAATCTGTGAATACATACTCCGTACGGAGTACTCCGTAGCAGCAGCGGAAATAGGCGGTCCCTGCTTAGCAATCAAAATGACCCAAAAGTTAAAATCCAAAATCCGAAATCTGTCACAAGCTCACCTTCACGTTCACCATCCACCATGTCGCAGTGACAGTCAAAACCCACAAGCAATATGAGTTCCGGCACCACCGCGCGGATCCCCTGGTTCTACTACTCGGGCTTTGGCAGGATCTGATTTGGATGCTCTACGGCATTCCTAGGACAGCTATCTTGCAATAGCGCCACAAGGAGCAGACCATGATCCCTTGGCCTCCCACCTTCTCTGTCTGCTCGTGCCCTCCATTTTCCTCTTCCCTTTGCACCTCCACCCCTCTCTCGCCTGTGTCTACTCCAGTACGACGTATCTCTACTCCATCTGTTTCGTCAAGTTGCCTTTCTACCAAGGTCAGGAAGAGTGGACGTGGACAATTACTGCCCGCCCGAGTCAAAGCCCAATGTCATCACAGCGGACTGTATGCAGATCGAGGCAATGCCCAGGGCTTGCTGTACTAGCACTTGCTGCGGGAGGGATTTGTCGCTCTCTTAACGCTGAGTCTGGTACTGACGCCATGTGTCCAATGGGGCTGGGTGGGTGCCAGACGATTTTATACAACTGGCTTCTCGGCTTTTCATTAAGTCATGGCGAAAGAGAACTGCTTGAAAGGAATGGGCTAATATCTGTGGTCTGCCTCCCATCAGAATTTTATCTGCTTTTGGTTCTACTGCTACGCGGGAGCTAGATTGATCGTTTTTCTTACGGAGGTTTCCACTAAAAAGTGAAATATTATGACTCCTTCGGTACAAGCAGATGCCCCCTAAAGTGCGGCGCATTCAAGGCAGTTGGTAAGGCGTCAACCTACCCTTTACCTACAGCAATAGCGTTTCCCCTTAATATCCTTGCTTACCTTTCCCTCTCCGTCAACCGGATTGCATGGCGAGTTGAGCTAGAAGACCTATGTCGCCCGCGAGAATGAAAATCTCTCCCATACCCCGCTTGCGAAATCAGCGTGGCTGCAGAGCTTCAACCACTAGACGAGTGTCCTAATTTGAAAGGGGAGCGCCGCGTTTGCCAGAGCAACTCTGCTCTCCTTCAAAGCCAAAACCCCAAAACCAAGTGTGTTGGCAGCGGTCCAGTTGCAGGCTGAAGATGGGATAAACCGTTACACCTAGACTCGACACGTCAGGGCTACGAAACAGACCAATTCTACGCTAGACCTCAGGAATTCGACTATACTCGAGACACCCTGATATCACTGGTCCTTTCAATGCGTAAGCATCACCGCTATAAGGCAAGGCTAGTGCTTATTTTCATTTTACCTCATCACCGTTCACGATTGGAGAAGACGACGACCACTTTCCCAGATCCCCCGAATGTACCACTGAGTGACAAAATTGCACAAGCAGACGGTCAAAAAGACTCGCTGCAGCGGCCAAAGCTGTTTCACTATTGGCTGTCGGAAGGAGGATTGTAGCTGAAGGTTCGAGTACAGAAGATGGGTGGTAATAGACGCTAGGATGTGTTCCGAGTGGTCCACTCGAGTAGGTACATGGAGTACTATCCCCTGTGTCACTGAGTGGTGGAATCGCTGCCGGTGCCCTTGCCATTCGGTTTAGTCCTGTTCCATCGAACAATTCGCCCCTCACCGCTTGGCCTGGGTATCTTCTTGTACTACGTACTTAGCAGGAAGAGACCCTCTGGAACTTATGTCTAAATTACCGTCAATGGGTGCTAAACCGTGAGATGATCTACTTTGCATAGGAATATGTAGCTAGACATCTAACATCAAATGAAATTATATTATTCTGGACGTCTATTTTCCAAAATTATGGCAATATGACGGTCAAATTATGGTCATTTGAGCCCTTGCCTCAGTTCTCAGCCGTGCTATGTGGGTTGGGACGATGACTGAGTCAATGTGCGCCAGCACGTCTGAGGTCAAATCAAAATTACGGTCAAATTGGCATTCCGCCCCAACAGTAAGCGGGCTAAACCAATTAGAGCCAAAACTACGTGTATTACCTAGTAATTTGTAATTCTACGTACTACGTAAAAATTAACAGAACTCGCAGCTATTTCGCACAGAATCCTACGCAGAATCCTGTGCGAAATAGCTGCGAATTCTACGCTGAAATAGCTGTAGATTCTGTGGCGACTTCTGCATGGAATTCTGTGCAACTGTGCAGATTCTGTGCGAAATAGCTGCGGATTCTGTTGAATTTTATAATTACAAATTACAAAATTACAAGTTGTTACACGCGATTTTTGCCCAATTTGGTATAAATCGCTTATTTTGTGGGGCCGAATGACATTTAATTCTGCTCATTCTACGTATTCTGTCAATTCTACATGGATACTGACAGACCTAATGATAAGGCGAGTTACGAGCGGCTATTAATGCTGTATGCGATGTTGTGACTTCTAAATATCTTAAAGAGCTGCTTCAGTCGATGCAGACCAGATGATAAGCAGTTGTAGATGTCAGTAGAAAGTAGAAACTTCATCTTAGAGACTAGTCCTAACTAGGCCATTTGTGGGCGTCTATAATGTTCTCAGCAAGGGGGGGGGTACACAAATTGCGCCTGTAGCTGTAGTACGTAAAGGCAGATTGGCTCTAGCGGCGGAACCGGTCACCGTTTTGTCCCCACTTGAAACAGCCGCAGGGGGTCGGTAAATCAGATACGTACTACGGGGGGCATGAAGTATTGTTAGTTCAGCGCTAGTATCTTTACTCCAAAACGTTCTTTATACAAAACAGCTAAGCCTATATCAGACTAAGAGTAAAATTTTAGCTCTTTTTAATGGTCGTGCTTAAATCAAGCTTTGCAATACTAAATCACGGCACTATTACGGAATAGCAGAAACTAGCCGCTACTAGCACTAGACTAACAATAATTATGCCTCGACGTCCTAGTCCTAACCCAGGACTTTCAACCACTCAGCTCAAGCTTGGGCAAAACGCGTTCTCACTACGTAGTACAGCAAGGTAGAAGAGCTGACAGGCTCGAATCAGACCATAATTCAGAACATCACCCCAGGCGGATGCACTGGTCTACTTGCAGCCTTGAGCTTGAGTGATTTATGGGGCGGTATGGGGTTATTGTTTGACTCCTTTTGACCACATGCTGCATCCCCCGCCATAAACGATCTCAAAAGAGGCAGAACCACTAAAAGCCATGCAATAGTGATACAGGATGTGGAAGCCCTTACCATGAGTATGCATCAAAATGCAGAAATGTCTCGGAAAAGCGGCCATTTCCATGACATCCTTCTTCAGCATCGAATGTGCAGTGCCATTATAACTTCTCAATCCATTGCCTCAGCATGTTTGGCGAGTTCTATCCTCAGATGAGGTGGCAAAGAAAGTTCTTCGCACCAGCGCACAGCATTTGAACGCATGGAACAGGCGTCTAGACCAGACCAAGTCATATTCTCAGGAATCTTCTCTTGCTGAATATGCATTCAACAGAGCTACTGATGCAAAATCGTGACAACAGGAAAGAATCAGCACCGGCCACTTCCACGCCAATTAAAGGCATGCTGTACCCCTCTCCTGTACCAAGTCTTAATACAATGAAGAAGCACCAATGCGTAACTTCACCGGATCAAAATGCAGTCGATACCGATCTCCAATCTTTCGTACGTACACGAGCCCATGTCTGTTGCTCTTGACATCCGATGTGGCACAAATCAACCATACCCACGCATACTTCCTACACAGGGATCGGGGGTCGAACCACACCCTCTCTTATGCAACGAATCACATCAGAGAGCGATGCCTCTGGAAGCGCTCAGGCATCTAACCCTTGTGGAGGAATAGATTTCCTACGGCTTTTTATAAGAGGTTCGGAACCACTGAGCAAATTTGAGATCGTCGTCTACCCCGTTGAGCAAGTTTGCAAAATAATCTCTCCTCCTCGAGCAGTCTAGCTACCGATCAACCACCATGAGGCTTATCGACAGTCTCTGTGAGACCCTCACGAGAGCACTTGGTCTGTTGACCATCTCTCCATGGAACCAGGATACAAGGCTGCAGCAACCTGTAGGTCCGTCTCAGGTGCAAGAGCCACATCAGGCACTGGAAACACTCTTTCCAAGCACCAAGCCCTTAAATTCGCAAGAAGGCGGTATCTCTCTGCAGTACGAGAAGCTCCCTGTCGGCGACCCACCCAAGGTCATCCTGCCCGATGGCCCTATATTTGCTCCGCCAAATGCTAGACCCGGCTTCGTCTGCAATTATACAGCGATGAAAGGATGGCGACATACTGCAGGCGTTGGAATGCGTAATGCCTGGCTGGAAAAGCCCATTGGTGACGAGGATGCTACTGGTGGAATCTACAACATTTTCACCAATTACGATCGATTTGCACCTATTGGAACGGTTCGCAAGGTAGGTAGTGCAGACCATCTCGCAGCGGCCCCTCCCGTACTTTTCTCCCTAGCTTCAACTGACTTGAAGTAGTACCATCTGAATGTCACGGATCAAGTCATCAACGCCGATGGCATTATCCGTAATGATGGTGGTAAAGTTTTCAACGGTCAATACCCAGGGCCGTGGATCGAGGCTTGCTGGGGTGACTGGGTAGAAATCACTGTCGAGAATCATCTACAATATAACGGCACAACCGTTCACTGGCATGGAGTCCGAATGCTCAATGCTTTTGAACATGACGGAGTCAATGCGATTACACAATGTCCCATCGCCCCCGGAGATCAATTTACGTATAAGTTCCGAGTGACTCAGTACGGCACATCATGGTACCACAGTCATTACTCACTTCAGTATGCAGACGGTCTTGCTGGACCAATAACTTTTCATGGACCTAGCTCTGCCGACTACGATGTTGCTCTAGAGCCATTTCTGTTTAGTGACTGGAGTCATAACAGCGCATTTGAGGACTACGGACTTGAGCTCCGCAAACCCCCCGTCGCTATGAAAACGGTCATACTTAATGGGAAAGGTACTAAATCGTCCAAGTACTCCAACTTCACCAACTTACATTCTCCAGGATTCTACAATTGTAGTAACAACCCTAATCCCGACTGCGAGGCTCTGAAAATTGACCCACCTTCAATCTTTGAGCAAGTGTTTGAGAGGGTGAGAGTTCAGGTCACAGCGCTAGCGAAACCGGACTATCAGACTCACATGCCTACTACGTCTAGGGCCGAAAATATCTTCTACGACTGATCAACACTTCGACTGCCTCCACTTTCATCTTCTCCATTGACAAGCATATACTTCAAGTGGTTGCTATGGACTTCGTAGCTATTGAACCTTACGTGAGTTTCACTGTGCTCCCGTTGCTTTATTCGTTGGTTGACACATGCTTAGTACGCAGACTCGATCTTGGTTGGGATAGGTATCAGCCCATTGAGAGCATAAAATCCCGTTGCTGATGGTCATAGGACAACGCTACCACGTCATCGTTGAGGCCAGACCATCAAACGATCTCATTCCAGTAGAAGACCAAAATTATTGGATTCGAATTACAGGCGCCAATGGCTGCTTCGACGTGGAGCCCAATCAAGCCAATGAAAAGCTCGGAATCATCCGATACAATTCAGGCAGCACAAAGACCCCTACATCGACACGTTACAATTTTAACACAGATTGCGCCGACGAGCCATATGAAAGCCTAGTTCCGGTGGTGCCAATGGATGTGACGGCACGTGATCGTCCAGCGAACGACAGTTGGTCTCCCCGTTTCCCTACCACTGTGCCAAGCTGACAGGGAATTCTACCCACAGTCCACCAAGACACGGGCGACAACTTTGAAGTCGGCATTGAGCTTCCCGATGAGAACTATACAGTCCCACACGGAAACTTCACACGCTGGGATATCCTCGATACGCCTATGTGGCTCAATTTCTCCGACCCAACCATCGACCATATCGGTGACTACGCGTGGGGTACTAACGAAACAGCGATGATCACCGAAAACTTCTCAAAAGACGAATGGGTCTACATTATCATAACCGGTCAGGGCACGCCGAAGCAAGTCTCCGAGGGCAAACGAGAATTTCTCCCCGTCGCGCACCCCATGCATCTGCATGGGCATGACTTTGTTCTTCTTTCTCAGCAGACGCGACCCTTCCATCCCGACGACCTAACAAATGGCACTTTCAAGTACGATAATCCCCCCCGCCGTGATGTCGCCTTGTTGCCCAGGAATGGGTATATGGCGATCGGGTTCAGGGTTGACAACCCGGGGATCTGGATCTTGCATTGTCATATCGCTTGGCACGCCTCGTCTGGGCTTGCGCTGCAAATCAGGGAGAACGAACACGAAATCCAACTCACCCCGCAGTTCGTAAAAGAGAAGGATAGGGTGTGTGAGAATTGGAAAACGTGGTTTGCCAACGAGTCGAACTGGTGGACTGCGCACGAATTTCAGGAGGATTCTGGTATTTGAGCAAGGAAGGTTATTACTAGGGGCTTGTGCTCTGGTAAAGGGACATGCGAGATTTGGGAGAATAGCAGCAGCTGGGAGACCATAAAGTGTGAATATATGATGTCGGCTCTCGAAGGATGCGGCAACAAAGCGCTTATGGTCGGATCCCCCTAGTCCTTGTCTACTTGAGCCTGGAAAAAGATGGGTATGAATGAAGTGTGTGCACATGCTCAACCACGCTCTTTTTGCCTTCTTTCCCACGACAACAAGTTCGAGTCGATTATCGAACTGAATGTGCCAAAGTTCTCACGGTTTAAAAAGACGGTAGCCGTGTCACACTCTTTGATTCTCACATGAATAGCAGAAATCCAATATTCTACTATATCAAAATTCTCGAAAAATTCCCTCTGGAGCTTTGGTAATTCGTTGCAAGGGAGTCGTACCTCCAACCCCATCCATTTTCATTCCCTGTTCGTTGACAACTGCCGTAGTTATTCATTTCAGACTGAAATAATCCCGGTGTGATGGATGACTGTATCGGCTTGACTTGTATCGAGCCTTTAATACCCTTAACTCCTTGTAGTTACTTTGCGTGCTTTTCTTGCGAATTTGCGACTACGAAATAAGCTACAGTTGTGCTTGTGGTAGGGTCGTGTCGAATAGGTGGTACTGCCTCTCTCACTCATTATATCACACCAACACAAATCAGGAATATCGTTACTTACCGTCCTAAGCGTACTGGTTACAGCTCCTATACAGGGGGCAACGCGGATAGCAGATCCTGTCATTGACAAGCAACATGGATTATTGACAGATCACACAAGAAAAAGAGCGCATCGATATCGAGAACAAAATAATTTTAACTTCAGGAAACACCCCCTTCTGGAGTCTTGACCGCCTCGAGTATATGACATATCAATCCGAGAACAAACTGGTTGATGGTATAGCTAGCTTTAGCCTCTGGGAGCACCTGGATGATATCAGATGGCGACGGTAGACGAGAGCCAGCTACGACAAATATCTAGGTACTATCACTAGTTTAAATTTCAATGTAGAGAGGAGGGGGGGGTTTTTGGTGCAATCCGGATCTATTTTACATATCAAAACCTCTCCCTTCAACCAAAGGTCCTGTCTAAGTAAATTTCCTGTGGGATGATTGGATATTGTCGAACTGTATGAGCGTTTATTGGTTGGAATTTCTACGCGAAGCCCCCTGCATTTCGCCTGCGTTTTGATTCGTCTATATCTTCTGGCAATTTCGCTTCGAATTTCACTGTGCTGTACAGCCGATTTGTTACGTATATCTACGCACGCTCCCCTAGATAGAACAACTTGCTTCTTCTACGTACTCTGCACAGCAGGTTGACAGATATGTTTGCTACATACATCTATCATGCTGCAATTGTTCCAAGTGGATATATATATGTAAACCTGCTGCTTCGACTGGCTACCGAGTTGAACCCTCCCCTAACCATAATTCTGTGTGCTCCGGCTTGTCTCGCGAGGAAGAGCCATATTCAGAGAAAGGTAACAGTGGCTGGCTTACTGTAATCGGGTTTGGTATCTAGCTAGTGATTACGGCAGTGAGTTTGGTGTGAGGGTGACTCTTATTTCCTGTACGAAAAGCTATGACACGGTGGAGAGCTGATTGCCAGAGAGAGATGTGAAAATAAGTACTGTGTCAGGATTATTGCTTGCATTTTGTGAATTGGTTCAGATCACCAACAAACAGGAAAGGATTGACTAGAAGGTATGGACTAGGAGTACATGAGCCTCTGCCGCCAAAACTTTGGGAATATCTATTTCCCAATTGTGACCGTTCCAAGATAAGCCGGTTGGGTTCCGCTGGCTGAGCGCTGGTTCCATATTCAGCTAGCGTTCTTTCCGTTGGAGTGCTTGGGTGTTGCTCACAGTATATCTCTCGAAATCATAGTCATATAGTTGGGGTCTCACCAACTTTCTCTGTGGGCGCTGATGTAGGGGCCATGGTTGGTCTTCAGCTAGCCATTGTGCTATTTAAGATTCTGGCCCGGTTCTCTGTTCGATATGCTTAAACTTAGTGTCTATATACACCAAGAAGCAAACGACACTTTGTGCGGCGTCAAATAACGATGGATCTTGGTTGCTTTGTTGTTCTTCTGATAGTAGTTGTTTTGCCCAAAAGGCTGGCGTGGTTCTTCCCAGGCCAAATGTCTGCACCTCAAAGTTATGAGGCGTTGAATGTACGGCAATATTTTGTGGGGTGTTGACTATTAGTTGATCTTGGTTCTGGCTTGCTTGTGTCTTCACCCGCTTGTGGCTTGTCGAGTCTTTCCCAAGCGCTGATCTAGAGATGCTGGCTTTCATAGCCGTTCCTCGTCTTTGAATGATGGTCTTCGTCCCAACACTGTCAAGATTCTTTATGACTGGGCTGTGCTGAAAGATGGGCGATAAGTTGTGTGTTTTACTTTCAACCTCGCTTGCTGGGGAAGTCATGGATGGTTTAGGCAATGATGACATTTCCGACGCGATGGTCGACCAAAAAGACGCGGATAGACTGACATTGCCGTTGGCGTTGCCGAAACATGAGAAGAGCTTGGAGTTCCGTGAAAAAGCTTTTGAGCAAATATGGTGGAGATAATGGACAAGAAGTAGTCCAAGATGCTCAGGCATGGTGTTGTGAGCCTGATTATTCGAATGTGTTTGTGTAAGCAAATCACCGGGGGAAATGCTGAGCAGGATGTCAAGCGTAAGGGCGATGTAGACGATAAGACTGGCAATCTTCCTTTTAGAAGGATCGACAAATTTCTCCAATGTTCGAGGTCGGAGGGCTGCTTCTAGTGCTGTGAGACCATCGACACTTGCCAATGCTCTTAGTTGGCGGACGTGCGCTTTTTCATTGTTCCCGATGCGATCACCTGTCATGGTTACCAGCATTAAAATTGTGTTTTTTTGTTGCAGAACACCAAAAGCAGTCGGACTTCGAATTAATGGTAAATTTTGGCACGACTGCTTGTGGAAGTAGCCAGCATGAATCAAAGTGTCGCGGTCGAGGTGGTCAGAGATGATTACTTTTCGTTGCCCAGTGATGGTCGCTGGTGCGCAAGCCGAACACCAGCTCTGGTGCGATGCATCTTCGAGGCATAAAGCTTTGACTGATTTAATATTCAAATTCTCTGGCAGTGCGATGCCTTAAACAAATCAGAATGATCTGTGTTAGTGACATAGACTGAGCGTACCGTAGGCAAATACATTCATGTCTGTTATAGATGGCCTGATGCAGGCGGTCCACCGCAGATGCTGTCCAGCAAAAGCTTTACTAAAGATCCCAATACAGGAATCGCACGGGTCGTTCCCGGAACACTGGGGGTAGGACATATTAACTAGCAACGCATGTGAATGTTCGCTGTTCACTCACCTTCTGCTTTTCAAACCGACATCTCAAACAGGCGCTTCTCGACTTGACTGTTTTAGTCATCTCGCACTCTTCTTTCATCTTCCTCTTGCGCAGCTTTTTGGCTGTTGCACTCGGAAAGCCAAGATCGAGGGTCAAACATCCAGGGAAAAGGGGTTTCGATGTGGTCCGTTTGCGGCGCACGGGGCGTTCATGCCTGACTAGACTTGCATCATGCGAGAGCTGTAACTGCTCACGAACGTTGTTTTTAGGTGTGTCCAAATCAGTTGCTTGAGATGACCCGCCAGCAACAGTCCCATGCTCAATTGCTAGATGTTTGAGGATCGAATTGGGATCCACGAAGGCGTTCAGAGACGTGACTTCGGCGTGGCACGGCTCAGATCTTTGAGGGACTGTTGTCATTGGAGTATGGCTCTGGTATTCCCAAGAGTCTGAAGTATCACAGTTCGATGCTGCTAGCGTAGGGTCAAAGTACCTTGCAACGAAATCTGTGGGCGGTCGATGGGCCATTTGCAGGCCTGGATTGGCAACAGGAAGCATACTAGTATCAGCTAGTCCAAAATAGCTTTCGAGTTCCAGTTCCCCATTGTTCAGAAGATTTCGAGGGATGGAATCTCCTATGTCAAAAGGGATTGAGGGCAGGCCGTCCTCGGCTGGTTGATCTTTCTGATCATCAAATGCGATATTGCCGTATGTCGCGTTGTCGATATCGCTGAACCAGTCAAACAGGTTCTGTTTCTGGTTTGCTTGCTCGAAGGAGTCCAAGGAGAAGAGGTCCGGATCAACAGGGAACATCCAGTCCTCCCCAGGCTCTTGCTGAGATTGGGCCATCTGAGCTTCTACCTGTTGGCACGGGTGCAATTGAAATGGAAGGGGGCAGAACAAAAGACCTTGGGCACTGACAACGAAAGATGTAGAGCGACATGTTGCAGATTGGGTGTTATACGGGGTATATATATTGTTTAGTTCCTGTGTTGGAGGGAGATGGCCGAAAGCCCAAAAAGGAATAGCGTCAAGTAGCGAAGGTGGGCGATGTCCCTTAAAAAGGAAAGGACGAACAAGATGCTGCCCAGATTCTTAAAACAGGATAGAGCATGCCCTGCTGCATAATTCACCCGAGGGGCCGTCTACGGACCACGTCATACCAATAGGGCAAGTGATGCAGAAGGCAAGACTTCAACTCAGGTCAGAGTCACCCGAGCTATGCTCCAATTGCCCGAGCAAAGGGTAGCATCACATTTGGCCCGGATGAAAATGAACTGGAGGAAGACGTTCCTGATCTTGGCACGTCCTCTTTTGGACGGCCGTATCAAAAGACATGTACTGTCAACCTGCTGTGCAGAGTGCGTAGAGAAGCAAGTTGATTGATAGCTACGGGGGTAGAGAGCGTAGATCTATGTACAATTGGGTGCACCGTACAGCGAAATTAGAAGCGAAATTGCGTCGGAAATTGACCAATTAGAAGCAGCAGAAACGCAGGGATTACGCATATTAAACGCGGCCAATTAGCCCTCTCAGAAGGTCAACATGTACTGATTGCTCTAATGCAAGGGAAATCCGATCCCATCTCATAACTATCCGTCTACCCAAGTACGACAGATGATGAGGAGTGCTTCCGTGTAACATCTCAATGCCTTTTGTACCTCAATCATCATCACAATCTCTGCCGCTCCCAGATTGGCTCCAGTCCAGAGGAGAGTTCTGCTTTCAAACCACTTTTCAATGAGGCCATCTCCTGCAGGCCGGACGTTTCTGGGTCTGTCTGATATCTCAGCTGACTTGCCAGGCCAGGTTGCTCTAGGTATGGGGCAGGCTGCGAAGCTGAACGTCTATATAGTGAGACTTGGTCCCATCAGTGTTGTCGTACACCACTCTAGCACTAAATCAGTGCAAAGACGCGATGTATCAAAGTTGGTGCAATAGCTTGGCTAGTAGCTCTTGGAACCCTCTACTCCAGGGTCTATTCTACCCAGTCAACATTGACGACGAGTCTCCCAAGGCTAGGCTAAACGAGTCTTCCATCTACCGAGTCTTTGGACAGATCTGAATCATGGCACTCCGCAAGGAAGCTCAGAGGCCAAATCCCAAAAATGCCAAATGTAAAGATCGAGCAGGATAAAGCCATAACGACAAGACTTAACTAAGATCATTCCAACCTTGGACATTCAGCTTCTTCCTCTCCCTCTCTTCCTTCAACAATCTCTCTACCCTCGAACGACACCACAGCTCCATCAACGGCGGCGCATCGTGAAACGCGATGTTTCCCCTCACTCTCTCGACCAATGCCACCATATAAGCCTGCTCCAGCCTTTCCAATTCGTGGTTAGATTCGTAGCACTTGTCGACACGCTGCGCTTCGAAGTTGACTTTTTCGCGCAAAATGCCCTGCGAGGTGCGACACTCTGGACAGCGGTTTTGAAAGCGGTGCTCGTCGTCCCAGTAGCTGAACAGGCAGGCTGGGTGGAAGTGGTGGTTGCAATGGGTTCTATGTGAGGTGTGAGCTTGAGAAATTTCAAGGACGGAAAAGGGAACTAGACATACTCCATGACCAGGTCGTCATACTCGAAATCACAAAGGCAAATCGAGCAGGGATCAGGTTTCACTTCTTCAATATCGAGCGGGTGGATTGCAAAGAGGTTGAATGCAAGCTTGCTGTGACCTGTGGCAAATTTGGAGAATTGCTTGATTGCCTCTTTTTCGGCCTGGCTCTCGGGTTTGAAAAAGATGTACAATTTCTTCCATAATCGGCCGTAGCCCCAATCGACAAGCAGGCGGTAATCAAACCGATCCCGCAGCTGTTTACGAAATCGGGCAAGTTGAGGTTTGACAGTGCCATTGAGAAAGGTGAACCACTTTCGCGCAGGGATTTTCCAATCGCGGCCGAAGTTGTAGAAATCTCTGGGGGCGATCGCCCAGAGACGTTTGTCGATCAGAACGTCTTCGAAATGCTCATTACCGATGGCCTCCTCGAAAGCAATTTCCCTGCTCTTCAGAACCACGAGAAGCTGTACCGTTGCCGGAAATCGTGAAAATGCCTGGTAAATTTAGTGTCCACGCACCTGAGCCCAAAGAAGAGGGACAGCATAGGCTTTTACCTCATGAACATATTCTCTTGGATCTTCTCCCACTTCTTGTGCCCAAGTGATGATTGCTTGCAAGCAACCCATCATCTCACTCAAATGTTCGCCAAAAGAGTGCAACCACTCAAAACCTGATGTCGTTGCGTTCTCAAAAGGACCCCTGCGCACTCTTTCATTCTCGAGCCTCTCGAGCTCTTGTGGATATGTTTGCATCATATGCGCAAGTTCATTCCAAGGTTGGTAAACCCAGGTGCCACCTACCCCAGGTTTGATTTGGCCTTCGCGGTGTATAGCGCGGAGAACGGCAGCGTAGCATCTCCACATATACTGCAGGCTATCTGATCCATTGACTTCGATGGCACGTCCGTCTTTAGGGTCTTTGGTGAGGACAACGTTGAGATTGCTTCCATCCCTGTTTGGTGGCCCTTGAAAGCGGGTCTGTCTTATATGGGTAAAGCGTATAAGTTGATTATATGTCGCGGTGGTCGTAAGAATTCCCTTAGGTACATGGAGCTGTTCTAGGTTTGCCACGATGTCCTCGTCAAATCCGACACCATTGTTGTATGGATCATACTTCCGCAGTCGCCATGGCTGCTCTGAGCTATAGCTCTTATCTTGCTCGGATTCAGGCCATTCGATAGTAGCAGGCGGATCGATGTGGAGATGAGGCAACTCTTGAAGTGTTGCCCAAGAAGCCATCTTGAAACAGAACCAGATGCGATGAAAGGCGAGAACTCGACACTTTATCAAACGACAGGTGGGAAGGCATGCATATCAGAGCTCAAAAGAAGGACGTTTTGAATTGAGTGTATGAAAGCACAAGCTACTAAGCAACAAAGGACAACCGAATCCGGCTACCATTGGATCCGGATGGAGCTGCAAAGGGCAAGCATCTCCATAGGCAACATCCATCATAAAAATCGGCAAAGCACCGTTCCAGTTGAGTGGTCTACTTGCTCTGCGTACCATCTTTCCGAGCGTCATGACACAGTGGTGTGAGTTGATTGTGGGACATGAAGTCCCAAACCTGCAGTGGTCAATCAATTCACCGATCCGGCACATGAATCAAAGGTAGTAGATATTTTGTAGAGATTGATTTCAATAGAAGCCTCACATCTTGGCTTCGCTCTTCTACACCTGCCAGTAAGTAGAAGGTATGAGGAAGGATTTGCAAAAGTTGAAGACGAGCAGAAAGTCGTGACATCCGAATGCAGCGATGGGGAAAGGCTAGTAGCCTTGGCAGGGGAACGGCAGCCACCAAGGGCTTGGCGAGCCTACGTACAGCAGGGGTCTGACTTGGCAATCCAGAAGCTTCAACTTGAAGTTGGATAATCCTGCCATGTTCTATGTGTCAACGCTTTTCTTCTCTTCGGCAATCGGACGAACTCGAATGTCAACTGCCTTGGCGCTTTCTAGAATATGAAGCTTCGGGCCAAGGACACGACTGTTCAAGAGAGTGCTGTCAGAATCACAAGAAATGCTCCCCGAAGGCGCAAATGGGAACCCGACGAAGAAATAGCCGGAATTGAAACTGCTCCACCTGCATTGAAGAGGACCAAGATACAAGAAAACGCTGTCACCGAGACAACGCTGCACATCGTGAAAGAAGACTTAGAGCTTGAGGGTATACATGCGACCGTGAACGGTGGCAGCAAGAAGCAGACACAGAAGAGCAAGCAAGTGGGCAGAAAACAAGTCGTTACTGCAACGGTGCACGACGTTGGAGCACAGGATACCAAACAAGAAGCAGAGGAGGAAGTCTTGAATTATAACAACGACAGGACACCCACCGAGAGCCGGAAAGCGAAGCAACCCTCGACGAAAGTCAGACGAACCAAGAAGGAGCAGACTGACGCCGGAGAAGAGGAAGAGAGAGAAGTAGATGGCGATAGCCCTAAAAAGCGCAAGCGCAAGGCCAAAGACATCGCAAAGATCAAGGAAGTCAAAGAGCAGGACACAGACATTGAAGACGAAGCAAAAGTCCTCAACGGCGACACCCCGCAAAAACCCAAGCGCAAGCGTAAAACCAAAGAAGAGAAAGAAGCCGAAGCCATGCCCCTCGCGGCCCGAACAGCCGGCCTACGCATGTACATTGGCGCCCACGTCTCCATTGCCAAAGGCCTTCAGAATTCCGTCACAAACTGCCAGCATGTGGGCGGCAATGCCTTCGCTCTGTTCTTAAAGTCTCAACGAAAATGGGAAAACCCACCCCTGACCGACGAAAGCACTGAAGCCTTTCGCTCGCACTGTCAAACCTACAAATACGATGCCTCCTCGCACATCCTGCCGCACGGCTCCTACCTCGTCAACCTCGCGCAAGAAGACCCAGAAAGAGCCGCCCAAGCCTACTCGGCATTCATCGACGACCTGCACCGCTGTGAAAGGCTCGGCATCAAACTCTACAATTTCCACCCCGGGGCATCCAGCTCCTCTCCGCTCCCCGACGCCATAAAAAGAATCGCCAACCAGCTTAACACCGCCCTCGCCTCTACCAAGACTGTAATACCACTCCTAGAAAACATGGCTGGCTCTGGCACGGTGATTGGGTCACGTTTCTCCGACCTCCGCGATATCATATCACACATCAAACCGGAGTTCAAATCGCGGATTGGTGTGTGTATCGATACGTGCCATGCCTTCGCAGCCGGTCATGACCTCCGCAGCCCGGAGTCGTTTAAACAAGTTCTGAAGGACTTTGACGAAGTGGTCGGGATTCAATACCTCAAAGCTCTTCACCTCAACGATTCCAAAGCCCCGCTGGGCAGTAAGAAGGATCTGCACCAGAACATCGGGCTCGGCTTCCTGGGCTTAAGGGCATTCCATAACGTGATGAACGAGCCGCGGTTCGAGAATCTGCCGTTGATCCTGGAGACGCCGTGTGAGAAGCCGGATCCAGATGATCCTACGGGGAAGAAGACGGTGGAAGATAAGGGGATCTGGGCTAGGGAGATTAAGTTGTTGGAGGGGTTGATTGGGATGGATCTTGATGGAGAAGAGTTCGGGAGGTTGGAAAAGGAGTTGAGTGAGAAGGGGAGGGAGGAGAGGGAGAAGATGCTGAAGAGTATCGAGGCGAGGGAGGAGAAGGCAAGGAAGAAATTGGAGAAGGGGCAGAAGACTCTGGTGGATATGATGACTGGCGTTGGGAAGGGGAGGGGCCAGGGGAAGGCCAAGAGAAAGAGGGAGAAGGAGAAGGTAGAGCATGAGAGTAGTGGAGAGGAGAGTGAAGCTGATCTTGACTGAGGCGAGCGAAAACAAGATAACTGGCTCTCATGAGACGGAGAGCAAAGATCCTGCATCTCTGAATGAGAAACATGTTGATGATACATATTGGCTGCACGAGACACCGTACAGAGGTACCGGCTGGCTGGCTGGCTCGCGTCACTTCCTGTACGAATACCATGCCAAATCCACAGCGTCCTGTGGCTCTTGCATAAGGAAGACGTGGCATATCATACTGTACTACTACTTTACAGATACTGAATGAACAAAAGCTTAGTGTAGACATAACATTGCACATATCTACTAGAGAGCGGTAAATTAGAATCTCAGGCAGATATCTGATCGGTAGATTCACCTTTTTGAGAGAGGACACACGGAAGGAGGGTTTGAGCGCCTAGGTTGGGAGTGCTGGCAAGATCGTCATGACTACTGCATGATTGCCGCTTGGGAGGTAGACGAGGTATGCACAGAACAACAGAAGGGGCAAGGGGATTTCTCTTGACGGTATAAAAGCATACAATTATCGTGGCTTCATCATCAATCCTTCATAATCGCTCGTGATATACCCAAGAAAGGTCAGAGACTTTTATATAAGACACGAGTACAAATCTCGGCCGGTTCCATACCTTATACCTTGCTCAAGCCGTAGCCCTTGCTAAACCAAAGCATCATTCCAACAAGCAGCCATGTGCAATATCCCAATCAACGATCTCACACCGCCGGAATATCCCTTGCGATGCCCCTATCCAGGTTGAGAGCTGCACTGACCAGCGCCAGATGACTGAACGCCTGCGGCGTATTGCCCAGCTGCTCTCCACTGATCGAGATCTCCTCGGAGAACATGCCCAGATGGTTACCGAAGCTGAGCATGTTTTCGAACATGTTGACGGCTTTGTGGAGATATTTCGGGTCGTAGATGCCGGCTCGGGTGAGCGCCTCGATCAGCCAGAAAGTGCACATGCAGAACGTGCCTTCGCGGCCGCCAACGCCTAGCGACGGTCAGCTTTGTGAATTTTCAGGAACGGATTTTGTGCTTACCATCATCAGATTTTTGGTGGTCATATCGGAACACCATGCCGGCGCTGGTCAAGCCACCCTTTTCTGGACTTTTGAGTATGGTGTCAAGCGTTCCCAAGAACCTGGGGTCATTGGGTGCAATGAAGAAAACCAGGGGCGCGATCAGCACGGCCGAGTCGATTGCCGTACGGGTCTCGTAACTCTGAATGAAGCTGCCCATGGTAGGGTTGTAGCCCTGGTCCATGATCTCGTCGTACAAAGTGTCTCGGTGTTGCATCCATTCGAGGCGCTTTGGACATGGGAAGCACCTCTTCTCGGAAAGTCGTATAGCTCGGTCGAAGGCAACCCAGAGCATTATCTTGGAGTACACAAAGTTCTCCTTCCGGCTGCGAACCTCCCAGATAGACATGTCAGGATCTTTCCAGATTTTACAGACGTAGCTCATTATGGCACGGATGCTGAGCCACTGGTCGTAGGTGATTGGTTTGCCATGCTTATTGTAAAGATAGATGGAGTCCATTAGCTCTCCATAAATGTCAAGCTGGGTATGAAATGCGGCGCCATTGCCAATTCGAACAGGTCTCGTATTTTTGTATCCGCTGAGGTGATCCAGCTCCGTTTCCGGTAGCTCCGAGACACCATCAATGCTGAACATTAGAGGAAGCGCCTTATTCGCACCCGCCTTCTGCCAGTCAGCGATACGATTGAAGATGAAATTGATATATGCCTCGCCCTCCCCCCCGTAGCCCATTTTGAGGAAGACATAGACGGTGAATGAGGCATCCCTAACCCAGGAGTATCGATAGTCCCAATTCCTCTGACCATCAATGGCTTCTGGTAGCGAGAAAGTTGGTGACGCCACGATTGCGCCAGTTGGTTGATAGGTGAGCAACTTCAAAATTAGGAGACTGCGTTCTACCATGAGCCTGTAACGGCCCACATATTGCAACTTGTGAGCCCAGTTCATCCAGAAAAGATTCGTCCTGATTTCAGACTCTTTAAGGCTTGTGATCGATGACATATTGGTCGTTTTGGGATTCTGTTCATACAATGCGAAGAAGATCTCGTCGCCGTCCTGCAGATCAACAGTGCAATAGGCTAACGAACCATCTTGGAGGGAAACATCAATGTTTCCCTTAGGGTAAATCGATAGCCTCAATTGGCTATTGGCGAAGTCGACTAGCCATCCATCCTTATCCTCTGAAATGGTGGCCTTGTCGGCCTTCCTGCCATAATCTGGACGCGGGCATATGCAAATCCTCAGTCTCATCTTACCACGAATGCACTCAAGTCGGCGAACGAGGACAGATGATCTGGTTCGGACGCTTCCAGAAGTGCCTTCTTGCTTGTTTTCCACAATGAAGAAATCGTTCATTGTAACCACTCCCTCTTCATTGATCCAACGGGTTTGCAGTATGTTAGAGGCAGCCAGATACTGCTGCTTGGTCATGAATCCATCCTCCTGAACAGGTCTCACAGACCAGTGTCCCCCTTGAATGCCATCGAGCAAACGACAAAAGACCGAAGGTGAATCAAATTGGGGCCAGCACATGAAGTCAATGCTACCCTCTTTGCTCACCAGAGCGCAGGTGTGCATATCGCCAATTAGACCATAGTCTTCAATGGGGAGGAAGTTCGGTTCCGGCATGTTTTGTACTGGCTATGACCCAAATTACTGGTCTAGACCACCGGCAAACTGTTGAGCGTAAGAAAAGATCATCGCATGGTGAGGATAAGACAACCGCACAATTCTAGAGCTGAGGTAGTCCAAGAAGTATTCACGGCTTATTATGGGGACGACTTGGTGACGAATGCTTTCTAGATAAACCCAGAAGTGATCATATCGAGTGTCACCGCTAGGCTTGAACGCGATTCAAAATACAAGAGATATTGATGGTTTCAAATGTTGTAGATGGGAGGGTCCCTCGTATAATGTTTAGGGTTCATTGTAGATTGCCCTGCATGGAAGTGTCCCAGCTTACCTGTCATGTATCTCTACTCCGTCTTTACTTGATTGAAATGGAGGAGTCGAGGATGATTTATTGGTCAAGTTCCCACTCCATAGATGCCTCTTTTCATCTTTTCATACAGTAATTCAGCGCTGTTGCTGTTGTACTACGGTAGTGTGGCTTAACTTTTCCGTAGGTTAGCGAATGGTGTGGTAGCACGGCCTATACGTGGCGAGATGCAAGGTCCTCTGGTTGTAGGTACCCCAACTTAGCCGGAGTTACACGACCTCGTTCGGTTCTGCTACTGTATTTATCCCCAGCTCTTTGCCTGGTCCAGTCTAGCTTGTCCAACTATTTTCTGCGGCTTCGAGGCCACTTTCCTGCCTGCTGCCGTCATTCCTGTTACGTATTACTACGGTAAGTTAATTGTCGTCTGCTCATGCTATTGTCCCCACCGTGGGCCGCTATAGGACAAGGTTCTCATCTTCTTGCGCCTGTGCAGCTTGGTGGCTCATTTAATACCTATATCCCAGTTTGTATCGCATTTTTACGGACTCCACAATGCATCCTTTACCACCGCCACCAAACAAAACCGGCAAGAACCAGTCTGCTCCCACCAGGCCTTCTGTAGCCCCCATCCAAGAAACCTCAGCAGGCCCCGAGCAAAGCAGTCAACTCTTCTCGCAAGCCAGCACTGAAAACAAGAAGAAGCGAAAACACCGAGGCAAGAAGAGTAAGAGGAACCGGAGGCAATCTTTTGCAGCGCCGTCCGAGGGCTCTTCGCAAGCTGCCATACCCGAAATCATGACGGAGCAGAAGGTGAGGGACAGATCACATTCAGGACTGAGACAGTCCTTCTACAGGCTAGGTCAGTCTGGCGGTAGCATGAGCAATACCAGTTTGGATAGTGAGGCGCTCTTTGATCATCGGTAAGCTATCAGCTCCTTGGTCCTTGAATGCCAATTGGAACCACATTGACATGGACGATACAGAGACCAACCGTTGATGCGACCTCGACGCGAAAGCCGGCTAGGACAGAGTTTGTTCACGGGCCAGAGGGGAGGCACTTCACCTAATGGAGGGCCATCCTCTTCTTTTCGCCGGGACCACACAAGTTCAACCATGGGCAATGATCCATCACGCCGACAGCAGGCCTTCAGCAAGAACTATGTTTCCACTGGGGAGGATTCTGACAGTGGTGACGCACCTCATGACAAGACCCCTTTAATGTCCCAATCTATGCGGAATGGATGTTCATCGGACCAACAGGGGGCTGGTGGCATGTTTGGCACAACACGTATGAATTCCAACCATCGCCGCGAGTCGAACAGCACGCAGTCAAGCAAGAAACGGAAAAGCAGACCAAGCCGGGAAATCTCTTTCCTTCGTCATGAACATACCGAATATGATGTCAACAATCCTCCTTCCGTACCACCGAGTCCTACAGCAGGAGCAGAGCTGGACGATTTTATGTTCGCTGGGGCCGACTTTACACTTACAAGATCACCTACCACACAAAGAGTATCAAATACTTACGGAAATGACGCTGTCATCGATGTTGACTCGAAGCCCCGCTCTCTCCCCGAGAATGGCTCAGACGCCCAGGGTACAGGTGCTCAGCGTTCCAAGAGTATTGCTTTGCCCGTTGAGGGCGATGTCTGCTTTCCTACAAGTGGCATGTCGGAGACTGGCGAAGAAGAATACGTGTCTCTTGGCCAGGGTGAACCGGATACGACTGGAGCAAGACGGCGACGGCGACGGATGTGGCCAGATCTGGCCGTCCTAGACGAGTGGAGCTTATCCGAGAGAATCACACTCCATCAAGAATCGAGGGCCAAGAAAATCAGTGAGCCGGTATTGGTAGGTGGTAGACTTCGTCCTTCGGGACAAGGATGGCATCGGACTGAGGAGGACTCGCCATATCGATATACGTACTTCAACGAAGAATTTGAAAGCACTATACATGCCCAGACTATATCCGAGTTAGTTCAACCTGGCAGTAGTTTCAAAGAACTATTTGTTCCCGATCCTCCAGAGATAGAAGATGATTCGTCAAACGACGAGGAACATTCACCTTCGACCAGAGAAGGCAATGTTGATAAAACGTCTTTGAGCCCGAGTCTGCAGGACCAGAGCGAAAGAGCGAGTGAAAAGCGTGCACCATCTCTCATAAGTGAGCTCAAGCCCAGTTCTCGAGATGCGTCAGGTCCACAATCTGGTCAAGCAACACCTCAACATAACAAAGCGTCAAAGCCCAAGCGATACGGTCCACGGCCTACATTCTGGCTTGATGTTCTCTGTCCTACCAATGACGAAATGCGAGTATTGGCGAAAGCTTTCGGTGTACATGGGCTGACCGCTGAGGATATTATGATGCAAGAGACTCGCGAGAAGGTCGAGTTATTCCGCAACTACTATTTCATCAATTACCGAACGTTTGAACAGGACAAAGAAGACGCTAACTACCTCGAACCGGTCAATATCTACATTGTTGTCTTCCGAAATGGAGTCCTCAGCTTCCACTTTTCCCAGACGCCTCATCCCGCTAACGTCCGGCGACGGATCCGCCAGCTCAAGGACTACCTGATCCTCAGCTCTGATTGGATCTCATACGCTATCATCGACGATATCACCGATGTCTTTCAACCACTTATTCAATCGATTGAAGATGAAGTGGATTATATAGATGAGAAGATCCTGCAGATGCACTCCGCTACGATCGCCTTAGCTAGCGCCGCCAATTCTATCAACAACGAGAAGCGAAGCCAGGCTGGAGAGGACAACTCCTCCGGTTTCGACATGCTCCGCCAGGTAGGAGACTGCCGCAAAAAGGTTATGGGCCTCTACCGTCTACTTGGCAATAAAGCCGACGTTATCAAAGGTTTTGCTAAACGCTGTACCGAGCAATGGGATGTCGCACCTAAAACGGAGATTGGGCTGTACCTTGGCGATATTCAGGACCATATCCTGACCATGACCAGCAATTTGAGTCATTACGAGACGTTGCTGAGTAGAGCGCACAGTAATTATCTGGCTCAGATCACCATCAGAATGAACGAGAGGCAGGAGCAGAGCGCGGACATTCTGGGCAAGTTGACGGTGCTGGGTACTATTGTGCTACCCATGAATATCATCTGTGGGATGTGGGGTATGAATGTCAAGGTACCCGGACAGGATGTTGACAATCTGACGTGGTTTTGGTCAAGTAAGTCTCCATTCCATTCCATTTTCATGCGAATTGAACGCAGCTTGCTGACAGGTCGACAGTCACAGCTGGACTCATCGTCTTTGCTCTCATCTGTGTGGTCGTTGCTAAGAGGGTCTATGGCATTGTCTGAGATACAGGAAAGTGACGCGGGATCATGTTTGCGTCTTGGTAAATGTCGCCAGCGACAGCAGGTTTACATCTGCATAGGAAGAGGTTCAACTGGTTAGCACCTCGGACACAAGAAATGCATATACACTGGTATTTTCGGAACAATATAGTTTGATCTTCATTATCTACGAAGCAGTAGTGCGCTTCTCTGTGTCAGCGACAGGCTAGTACTCATTGAGGAGTGCGCCAAGAGAAGTGACATGTGTGATGGAGTCCTGTTTTCACTGAACCCAACCATTCTTGTACTCTGAGGGCCTGCACCAAAAGCATGCTCCCGTGAGACCAATTCGTCGGCTGCGGATACAAAAAGAGCCTTGTGAGTTTTCAGCGAGAGGCTCTAGGATGCTCCGAATCTTGGAAGCAACGCCGAGACAGCCCAGCCTTCTCAACAGCCACAACCAAGGTTCGAGTCAAGGTTGGCGCGAGTATGACGACTCTTTGCACTCTGCTTGAATGACCTATATTAACACGAGGCTTCTCTTGGTGGAATAGCTTCACTCTCACTCCCCTTATACGTAAGCCTTGGCTCGTGTAAATTAACTAAGGAGAAGACTTTATGTTGATATTCATTATCCATTTACAACTGATTTTCAAGACCTTCAGAGCGCATTTTTACCTCATAACGTTTCATCATCAGCACGATCATACGAAACCATTGTTGGCTCATCAATTCTCAACATTGAAAGCGTCATTCGGCATCAACCTTAGAGGAGAATGTGTTTCGGCGGTGGCTCTGACGCCCCGGTCATCATTGAAAAGCGAACAGTCAGACCTCGCAAGAGCAAAATAATCTATGTCTCCGAACCGAAAAGATCCTCTCATACACACTATACGAGCCGTTCTCCCAGTCCAAGACACAGCACCGAGAGCCGTGGACGAAGAAGCGCCAGTCGGGTCATCACTGAGCGGCGGACGAAGGTGGTTTATTGAGGCCTGATTGTGGCATTTTTGAGTGCTTTCGTTCATTACAGGTGGTTGGGATGCGATCAGTAAGCACGAAGGAATATGAGTTATGGGCCACTGGTCAAGACTCGGTGATAAACATAGAGGTAGTGGTGTTGGCTGTTCTGCGTGCCTGTCTATGTTCGGGTTGTATACAGTCGAGGCTGTGTATATTAGTTCGACTGGAGGTATTATAGAATCTATTCCTCTTCATGACCAATTGGTGTTTTATATCTACGTGTTATGTTTTGCGCTGTGTACGAGCACGATTAGGGATGTCCCTGAAGAAGGGATCACTGGACTTTGCCACGAACCGGCAGCCAAGCCTACTTAGCCAAGGCGAAGTTCCAAGCCCTGCTACGTCATAATCGAGATGGGTGTGACAACCCTTTTGGCATATCGAGATGTCTACGTTACTCAGCAAAGCGCACCTCTTCTAAGCTCCAGGATTTGTATATTCTCGCGGAACGGTCACACTCAATGTAAGCATCCACACCGTGAATTTCCTGAAGGCTCTACCTGCCAGCAGCTGCTACCGGTACATACCGGCCCCTATGAACTACTGCTCTTGCACGTTTCGGAACTGCAACTGACTCTTTCTTCCATGATATAGCAAACATCAAAACACAAAACCTTCAGACAAAACAGCCTATCAAGATGTGAGTAAACGAAGTCGCATCCTTGCTTTTCGATTCCAGCATCTCCATATCGCTCGTGCAGAAACTGCATCTCCCCAATGTTCCAGCCGCTCTGCTACCTATCTGTCATCCCTGCCTTGCTCTCGCGATTCTCCACTCCCCATGTTGCTGCAGCTGATCACTTGCACAGGAATCGCGGACTCTCTATCCGGTCCAAGAAGAAGGAGCATGGCAAGGAACCCTCTAAGCACACCTTTAGCATGGCCACCCTCCGAGGGATGAATCAGGCCGATTTGTCCAAGAAGTTATTCAAGGTCATCAAGACGGAAAGCCATGCTATCGGCGCATATGAGTCTGCTGGTCGAGAAAGACTCTCCATTGCAACTCAAATCTCCGACTGGGGAGAATCTACCAACGATGATTCGATTTCAGACGTATCTGACAAGCTTGGTGTCATCATGTCAGAAATCGGGGAGCAAGAAGATATATTTGCGCAGAACTTGGAAGACTACCGTTCTATATTGAAGCAGATCAGAAACACAGAAGCCAGTGTGCAGCCAAGCAGAGACAACAAAGCGAAGATCACTGATGAGATCCAAAAACTGAAATACAAAGACCCTTCTAGTCCGAAACTGGTGACCCTCGAGCAAGAGCTTGTCCGAGCAGAGGCACAAAATCTTGTCGCGGAAGCGCAGTTGACAAACATTGTAAGCCGGTCAATCCCCCATCTCCCAAGCCCAATGCTGACTTGTTCTAGACACGCCAAAAGCTCAAGGAGGCTTACGACATTCACTTCGCCGCCACGATTGAGCGAGCGGAGAAACAGATAATTCTAGCCAGATACGGCCGGCGTCTGCTGAACTACCTTGATGACGCCCCAGTCGTGCCTGGCGATGAGCGTCAGCCATTTGCTCATGCCAACGAGGCTCGTCAGGTCTTGAACGACTGCGAGCAGGAATTGCAATCATGGCAGCCGCATCTAGAACCGGTCAACTCATCGGCAGGAAGTCTCGGGACTAATTTGATGCCCACAGAAGAGCGCGAGAATCTTCGCAGTCCTACGAGCGCGAAGGATAGTGAGTTCGAAGATGCGCCTACGCTGCATCATCCTGAAGATACCACCGAGACTGTAGTCGAGCCAACTACAGAGGTGAAATCGAGCACAGAGCCAATAAGATCATAGTCAAGAGTCTTACAAACCGAAAGAAACACGAAGGAAGGCATTCTCTCCGATTGATTTAGCCTTTACGTTTAGGGTAGCGATCTGGCTTTGCAGCAAGAGGAGAGATGAGTTGGTGATGATACCACGTGTAACTATCTTATATCTTGTGTGAACGATGTGATAGCAATGCAAGAAAGTCTAAAACTATAATATGAGCTTGCACAAGGTTACGCTCTACGCTCATCTGGCAGGATAACATTCATAGTTTCGTGCAGTGATCGACCGAAAGTTATGCCAAGAAAATTCTCGTGCAGGCGTCGAGTTTCGGAGCTCGTAGGCTGCCAGCGACGCGAAAGCGGTCTTCAAGCCCCAAAGCTGCCGGTTGAACCATTGCCAACCGTCAACGTCTGTAACACCACCTTTCCATTCACTCTTAGTTCTTCATTTCTTGACACTCATTCCTGCAACCTCTAGCCCGTCCACAAACTTCACGATGGATACTCTAGTCGCTAGGTACACTCGGTCGCCCTTCGAGAACGAAGGCTTTTCATCGGAAGAACAACAAGACTACACTGATTCGTTACCACCTTTATCCCTGAAGTTTGCTCTGCCACCTGTTGCTCGCGTAAGCCGTCTGCGATGAAGCCCTGACAGGTGGAAGAATGTAGTGCTGACTATTATCTTCATAGCCTTCCGCATTCCTTCGAGCCACGACAGACGATCATGCCAACCCAAACTGCCCCATAAAGCTCGCGCATGGAACGACAACTCTGGCATTTCGGTTCAAGGGTGGTATCATTGTTGCTACGGATTCTAGAGCGACAGCTGGGAACTGGATAGCGAGTCAGACAGTCAAGAAAGTCATTGAGATCAATAGCTGTCTGCTGGGTACAATGGCTGGAGGAGCTGCCGTAAGTCTACGCCTCTTTCTTGAGGATAGCCAAATGGTCTTATGGGGGTCGGAACGAAGTTTTTGTGCTTTATATCCAACCAGGCTTGGTATAACCTGGAGATGATCAGAGCTGACAACTTTCAGGACTGCCAATACTGGCTTGCTTATCTTGGTATACAATGCCGCCTACACGAACTCCGGCACAAGCGACGTATATCTGTTGCTGCTGCTTCCAAAATCCTCTCGAATCTCGTCTACTCATACAAAGGGATGGGGCTCTCAATGGGTACGATGATTACCGGTGTCACCCCCCAAGAAGGCCCCGCTCTATACTACATTGACTCCGACGGGACCCGCTTAGCCGGCAACCTATTCTGTGTTGGATCCGGGCAGACATTCGCTTATGGTGTGCTTGATGCGGAGTACAAATACGATCTCGAGGACGAAGAGGCCCTCGAGCTTGGCAGAAGAAGTATTCTGGCAGCGACACATCGGGACGCATATTCTGGCGGCTTCATCAATCTCTACCACGTGAAGGAAGATGGATGGGTGAAGCATGGTTTCAGCGACACGAATCCCATTTTCTGGAAGACCAAATTGGAGAAGGGCGAATTCTCGAATGTCACTAGCGAGCTTTCGTGAACTGCGCAGGATCAGACACATCCGTCGAGCTTTCAGCACAGGCTTCTGGCATGGTATCGGCGCGTGGTGTTGAAATGAATAGAAGGTTGTAATACTGGTCTTGCGAGTCTTACTCCTCTAATTTCAACATGTACAACAACAGGGCCCAGCCAGCAGGTTGAAATTCCAGTGTTGTATTAACTACATTAGCTGCTTATAGGAAAGGAAAGCTCTTGCCAGATCGTCTTGCTCTCTAACCCGGACTTTGCCCTTTTTGTACTTCGTCTGTTTGCTTATCTGCCCCTACATAGCGCTAGTCAGCCCTCTGCCAACTTCGAAACTCATGCCCGACAACCGAGTCAGTATGTTGTGTGACCAAGACGGAGTCCTTAACGGAATGTAGACAGCAGCACATGTTACATCTGTTGCCTCAGCATGTAGACGTATTTTGCCACAAATGAACAATCCTTATTCTGGTTCCAGTGTACTCCGTAATGTCGAATACATTCGTGATAATGTTCCTACAACAGATTGTTCTAGCAAGGAGTCCCCCCTCACTTGGTTGTAGCTAATTATCACCAAGTGACAAAACTTATAGACCAGTAGAGAGCAGTTCTACTTCGCAAGGATCTTTTTTATCGTCATACCCCCTCTCGACATAAGGACCTGCTAGCTAGGAGTACTATTGTTGGCGGTCTGCCGTCCCTGGGGTTAACTAGCTCTCCACCTTTCCAGCGTAAATTTTTGGCATTTTTTAACTGGTGGATGTAGCCGCTAAGTTAGCGTCTTATCAAACTCATACGGAGTACTACGTATCAGGTTCTGGTGGTTGTTCTCACTTGATGGCAGCTATTCAAAGGTGCGTCTGCGGCTGCAGCAACCAAGAAGAATATCAGAATCTACGCCGGAAAGGTGGTCATTATGAAGACTTACAGTATAGTACGTCGTCCCGGATGCTCAGGGGTAAACCAGCTACCGGGTGGTGAAGCGCGGTTTAATGTCTCTTCTTTCGTATTGATCATTGTCAACTTGTTGTGTGATGTGTGATGTATAATGTATAATGTACTCGGTTTCATATTGCTCTATGCCTCTTCTGCCGCCTGCAGTGCATATAGCCTGCATTACATTGTCAACCCCTCTGAATGTGCAGCCTTACTACGTTATTATTTCAAGTTTCAGGTGGGTTCTATTGGTGGCCTTCTTGCTTAGGAAGGGCTATTTCGGTCGGAGGATAGGCCGCATCTTCTCGTGTCTCGAAATCATGAGGGGTGTACCTGGCGAGGTAGAAACCTGTGGTCACGGTGTCCTTTCTTCATTCGCATTGTTGCTTTCCTCGTACTATCTAAGGGATGAGATAAGGCATTGCAACTCGTTCCTCTCCAGTTACTGTCCTCTTTTCGCAGTCCGATGGAAGACAATGCACGTGCAAGGGCGAAGGAACATATCCAGTCTATACAAAAACTGCGAAATATTTCCGAAAACCTTTGCCCTGATCTTGAGAACAACTGGAACCTCCGCGATCTCGCGAAGTCACTGAGCCTGTAAGTGGGAATTGCTTTCCAAGAACGCACCAGCAATAACACGATATAAAGCTTTTCAGACCAGCTATATAGTGATGGAACCCACTTCATCTGGGAACTATTGCAGAACGCTGACGACAACAACTACGCAATCGGCGTAGTACCCGAAGTCCGTCTCGTACTAACTGATCGATGTATTCATTTCTGGTCAAACGAAGTTGGATTCTCAAAAGAGAATGTAGATTCTCTGGTATCTATTGCTGATAGTTCCAAGGGTGAGGATGTCAACACAATAGGAGAGAAAGGAATTGGGTTCAAGTCACTGTTCAAGGTAGCAGATGCCGTCACGGTCCGCTCGGAGCCCTACTGTTTCAAGCTCGACACAGCCTCTCCGTTAGGAAGTCTTGGGATGATCGTACCTGTATGGGTTGATCCTAATGACCGACGTGAGTGCTGCAATGCTGACTTCCCAGCCCACGGAACGTTATTCACTCTACAACCGAAGCCGGGCTTCTACAAGGAGAAGCTTTATTTTGACGTCCTGACCTTCGACTTTTCTTTCCTTCTATTCACTAGAAAAATCAAGAGCATGCAGCTAGTGGACGGTCGTCGGAACTCTTGGGGGGAGGTAACGAGGGAAGGCTCCATACAAGTTGAGTCTGGAACAGGAGTCATCAGGACGAGTTTGAATGGCAGCCCCGAGTCACTCAAACAGTATGCTATTTTCCAGCACACCGTCCACGATATGCCGCCAGAAGCAAATCGGCAGGGCCAGGCTGAAAGCATTGTCACGCTGGCCTTCCCGCAGGAAAATCAAAAACCGAGCCTGGAAGACCAACAGACGTACGCGTTCTTGCCCATTGACCACTTCGGCTTTCAGGTTCGTCCCCTGGCCTCCAAATCTTTCTGTGTATGCCCATCGTTCAGTTTCTTATTCACGCAGATTTTGTCCTGATAGCAAATCGGAAAGACATCCAGGGTGGTTTAGACTGGAATAACAGTCTGCGTCAAGGCGTGGTACAGGCACTATATGCAGCACTTCTCTCATTCGCTACCTCTCCCAATTCATCATATGACATACGCCTGGCCCGAATATCTCGAGTGCCTTCAGACAGTACATAACGCTTTTCTGAAAGCCATCGCACTGAACACAATATCTGCTTTACGCTCATATACCATGATCCAGACCGAACAGACTAGTAGTTCATCCTCCACGGGAAATCGATTGGACGTGCCTCAAAACTTGCTCATCGTAGGACCCGACTTCCGCAATGCTGAGGGCGGCCTCCTCTTAAATGACATTCCGCTGTTGGAGAGAGTAGTGGCCAATTCTTATTCTTTCAAATCCATGGCAGTTTTGCGCAAATTAGGCGCTAGAGACTTCACATTTCCGGACTTTGTGGAATATCTGACGCGCTTTGTTAGGGGAAACCCCGAAGACTTTCAGAAGAAGCCCTCTGAATGGCATTCCTCAATTGCCGCTGTTTTGCTAACCCACTTGCGGAGTAATGCCTGGGGGATTTATTCTGAGGAACTCTCAAGCTGCAAAGAACTCCCCATGGTTCCCTTACGTGATGGGAAGTGGTGTTCGGCGGCTTCAGATGATGTCTTACTGGCGGGCGCCTTCGATCAAGAAATACCAGGAGGTTTAACCGTACGCTTTATATCTAACGACGCGGCAGCAGACAATTCAAGGCACGACCTGTTCAGGCTGCTAGGAATCAGATCATGCGATGAATTCAATATTTGCAAATTGATACTAGACAAGCAATCGTCAGTTCAATACATGACACATCTGATTGCCCAGACTGTGTTTCTCTTCCGAGCCGGGTACAGCCCCGAAACTGGAGTCAGGCTTCGGTTTGCTAATTCAGCCAAACGCACAGTGTACGGACGAAGGGTGCATGTGCCTTTCAGGCATCCAGGTAGCGACATTCGACTTCTTTTTGAACCCGACTACCAGGGGACTGACTGGCTACATTCATTCTACGAAACTGCTGTCGAAGGGAAGCATAAACGGCAGTGGCTTGAATGGCTCCTCAACTGGCCTGATGTCCACATTTGGCCCCCAGTCGTTGCAGACGACCATCTTTCACCCCACATGCGACACATTCTAGAGATAAAAGGTTCCAGAATGCTCCTTAGCCATCTTAAAGGACAAGTTGAGATGGACCCTCACTTTGGTGTCAACCCTTGGGATCTCGCTCTGGTAACCGAGAACATCAAAACGCTCTCTGTTTCGACCAATGTTGGTCTCCGTCAGCTCTCCGAGGCTGTTCTACCCGGGCTCGGCGCAGCAAGCCTGGTCGCTCTTCCTATACTGGAATTTGACGAGCCAGAGAACGAAGCATGGGGATTTCTGCAGAAATACGGCGTCTTAACAGTGCCCTGTCTCGATTTCTACCTGCGACAACTCAAGGCAATGAAAGCTCAGGACGACCTCGAGCTGTTGGACGCAAATTTGTCGGAGATATATCAAATTCTTGAAAACTATAGCGACCAGAAACAGCAAATCTTGTAGGCGCATAGCAGCTGTCACCCATCGAATGCTTGCTAATAGAATTTTAGGGAGACTTTTGAAGCATCTGAACTAATCCATGTTGGATCTGGCAGGTGGAAGTCTGCAAAGCAATGTGTCTGGAAGGCAAGCTTTCCATGCAGCACAACTCCCGTGCTGTCAGAGCTCTATGGCGGTTGTAGAGAGTTATTTCGAACCTTCTTGGACATAAAACATGCTGGAATGGGGGTGTTGATCCGGGAGCTTGAACATGTCGAGTCATGCCACGGGGATGAACAGGCTGATGCTTTTCGAAGGCTTTTGCCTGCTCTTGATCGACTCTCAAGTAAATCAGCTGTCTCATACACTCGGAGAGTGAGACTAGAAACAATAAAAATGTTCCCTGTCTCGGTGTATGAGGAAAATGATGAGACGATTGCGGCTCATCTGGCTGCAGCCCACGAAAGATTCTGGATTGCTGACATTCCTTCGTTGAAAAGCAAGTTCCAAGGTCTGGTGCCGCTCTTGGAAACCTCGGGTATAGGAACTCCTAAAGCCTTCGTAAATGTCTTTCGTATTCTTGACATGGACGACAAGAAGTTATCGGTTGTTGTCGTCAGAAAGGAGGAATTATATGAAGGTGTTGAGCCAACTCTCGCCAAAGAGTTGACTTCTCGATTGCAAAAACAAGTCCCGTATATCCTCGGGTAAGTCATCTGCGTTACCAAGTACCTTTGCTGACTGCTTTAAGATTGTTGCTAAGGATCAATCGCCGTCGACCGAATATGGAAAATACACAATGAATCTAAAAAACCTAGAAGTGTATCAAGTCCAGACCATCAGAATACAGCGATATATCCTGGACAATGATATCAGGCTTAATGGCAGAGGCGATGAGGGAGCTGTCGTTTTCCGAGAGGGTCAAATTCCTGACAATGGTCTTCAGATATGCATAAAACGTGGCCTTGGCTTGCCGGATTTTCTTGCGCCTTTGACTGATCAGTTTGTCGAGTTCTTCGGCTTGAAACAAGAAAGCCATATGCTTCTTTCAAGAGTTCTTCCCACTGAGAAGGCTGAACAATTTCTTGAATTTCTGGAAAGGGCCGGCGTTCGCGGCATCTTTGGCGATCAAGACTCGGAAACAGAGTCATCCTCGGAGAGCAGTTGTGGGTATGTCTCCGCCGTGGAAGAGGCTACCGATCAGAATATTGAATGCATGCTTGGACGACTTCATATCCACGAAACGCAGGCATTGACTCATCAGCAAAGCCCCGTAGGGCAGACATATTCTCGGGTGCATCTGAACTCCAATCCATCAGCCGAAGGGATGCAAAGGGAAGCTCAAGCAAGTGATGACCCGCTAGCTTCCTGGAAAGATACCTCTCTGGTTCCCTCTGCGCTTGATCCCAGCATCGCACTCGAAATCAGTTCATCGAATACCTCATTACCTGACCCCACAGAAGTTAGGCGCCTGGCTGAGCGCCTGGCTGAGCGCCTGGCTGAGCGCCTGGCTGAACGCCTGAGCAATATATCAATCGTCGAAATTACGTCCCAAAATGTGGGAAGAAACGCCACAATTGACAGTGGGATAGCATTTAATACGACAGGCAGCACTTCATCTGCAGTCTTGGGTTCGGGAACATCTTCGGCTACCGGTGTCCCGCCTATGTCCTCAGGAGCCCAGCACAGCTCAGGAGACTATGGCATGTCTGCATACTCCGAACCTGCGATATCGTCGTCTCATAGTAATTGGCCTTCGTCCGAAGCCCGCCGCTCAAGCTACAGGGGCTTTGTAGACGTTACTATGCCTGAGGAAGCTGGTCTTTCCCAGGAGATCGGGTTTCAAGGGGAGTATCTGGTGAGTCAAATGCTCTTTCAGTATCACTTTGAGGTCATTACTGATGCGAGATCAAGCTCTATAAGATCCTTGAACAAGAACTCCGCCCACACTTCACCTCCGACCACTGGACCAGTAACAACCGCGATAGGGTCTTCGACAATCCCTTTGGGAATGGACAAATGGGGAAATATTATGCAGACTTCACATACCGAGACGACGACGGCAAGCTTGGAACATACATTGCCCCGCGTAACGGCGAGACTAGTGTTAATCCAACCAATCACGTTATCACATATCACCTAGAGGTCAAAACCACTCTCGACGGCTTGCGCACCCCTGTCCGTCTAAGCAACAACCAGATCCAGATGGCAAAAAGGCATTCTTTGCGCTTGGTGCCGAGCTCTCTTACGCAAACAGACATATATGTACTAGTCAGAATCTACGACCTGGGAGGCGAAGGGGTCCCAAAACCCTGTTAGAATCCCTGCGTTTATGATACGTA